AAACCATTATACCCTGATTTCCCATTTTCAATGGGTTCAGGGTATAAAAATGGCAAATCAGACCTGAAGGCATAGTGATTATTCAAATTGTGCTATATTTTGGTCACTGTTGATGCTAGAGACCTAAAATTTTGTATACTTACTAACGCTGGCCACCCAAGACCAAAAAGTTATGATGGATATATGTCCTCCCACAGAGGGCGAGGCAATTTGCAGTTTATATCTCCTACAGTTTAAGAGCTAGTAACCTACTCCATCGATAACCCAAAAATAATTGTTACGCCTCTTTAGGCATATCGAAAATTTTCAGCTTTTTAGAGCGTAAGTCAGTTAGGTTACCGTTAGCTTGTTCTAAAAACTGAAGTGTCTACGGCCACTAGAGGCGTGTAAATCGAGGAAAACTACATTTTCTTGCATGATATTCTGCAGTTGGTAGTGTCCGACTGCAACGTTCTTACTTATTTCGATAAAAGTCGATGCATCAACTTTTTTTTTAAGTGCGGCTTGTATGCCATGGGTACTAGACCTTGATATGGTTACCACATTTCAAATAGTAGGTTGCACTTGGTCTTAATGCGCAGCCTCTGTGCAAACTGCATTAACTATGCATACAGTATTGTATATATTGGCTCCTAGCAGGATTTAATTATATTTAAGGTGAACAGTCAAGCCTAGTGGACTCTTACTAGTTTTGAATCGCATTTTAAACATTATTAGGGAATCTACAATGAATCATTCAGGAGAGACAGTTTTTGGAATGAATATTCAAATTAAATATACAACTTTGACAATGGACGTTTTTTTAATAGATAGACAAGGAAAAATGATAAGCTCGAAAACAAATCTTGGACGAAACGATGAGCAGATCTCTGGATACTTCCGTGACGCAAAAGCTCCAGAAATGGATGATTCTGACGAGGAGCGTGAGTTAACAAATTTAAATTGGTTATTACGTAATCAAAATCTGACGTGGTCAAAAACAATTGATGGCAACTCTGAGGATGATATCAATATTCAAGCTGAAAATCGGCATATGACCACTGGGGTCGAAAGTCTCAAAGCTCAAAAGATATTAACACCGTTAGAACAATGTTCGTCAAAAAATTCGGCAAATAACTCTTTTATCCGAAATATTATCAATTACCCTGACTCCAGAAAACAAAACTCATCATCAACACTGTTAAAGCGTCCAACGCCAGCGGAGAGATACGATATTTTTATTAACAAAATTAAAAGGTAATAATGATCCAGTTATACATAGACATTTAGGAACATATATGAACAAAATATCATTACAGTGATTTGGCGGAATATGAAAAATCGGCTTATTTATATAAGACAGATGTAACTCACAAGCCACCATTTAACTACTCCCATATTATTGGGATGGCGATGCTCGAAAACGGACGCGTTACACTTCAACAAATTTGTGCATGGATTGAGTCTAAATTCGCATTTTTCCGAGTGCGTAAGAAATGGAATGTGAGTCTGAAATTAACTTAAGCCAACCCTACATATTCAAAATGACAATTCACGTCTATCCCCATAGACGAAGTCAGTATATTGTACATATATAGTAGTATCCGCTCACCATCCGTCCGTTCATGTGATTATCTGAAATTTGTGACTCTACCAAGCGCAAGACGACTCACGAGTCATCGCGAAATACTTTATCTGGTATATTAAGAAAAATTATATAATATAATTTTCGAACACTCATATAATTTATAAATTAGTCAATTAACTACTGTTTGAAAAATTATATACATACATATGCTGGTTGATAGCGTGATAAATAGAGAAAAACTATATACATATATATTCCAAAGTTTGTTACTACCGACTGCACACTTATACTTATATTAATATATAATTATATTATTGAAAGTACAGAATTCGCTTAGTTACCAAAGTACGTTAAATATACACAGTATATAAAATTGACAACATTTTTATTCCCTGAATAAAAATACATAAATATGAAAATGTAAAATCAGGGTATAGGGATTTTGCTAAAAGTAAATAAATTCTTGATTAGAGCGACGAGACCTGATTTTTTTTTTTTAAATCAATAAATCATCCAGTAATGTTTTTATCGATTAAAAACAGTCAAGTTCAAGCACTGACCAGAGAACACATAGACCGGACACGTAGTGTAAAGCGTTTTGCACACTTATTTTTGGGGATTGCGACCCACACAACTTCGTATTTGCTCGGCTTCTCACTTTTAGGTTCAGGCTAGGTTCTCTGGTCAGTGGTTCAAGTCAGATGCCATTATAGCTAATTATGAATGAAATTAGCAAATATTTGGTCAATTAACAAACGCACGTGCAGCTGCTGCAACAGTTTTCCTATTTGTGTGCACACATACATTCAAACTTGTTCTAGCACACTCTTGGAATAACATCAGCAGTTAGTTAGTTTAGTTTTGCTAAATGGCGCTGAAGCAGTCAATATATTTCAGCTTTTCCACCAAAATTACAAAGAGTGAGATGGGGCTGTGACAAGCGGCGCAACGCACAGTTGGGCCTCTGCCGGTGTAGCGTGGCCATAAATCAAAAAACTATGATATGAAACTATTTTAAAAAAGTTAATGCCATATGAAAATAAATTGATCTACGGGATAGTAGCCGACAGAGCTTTGCAAATTGATTAATTTTAAGGGTAGTTATAGTTGTGAGAGTGACAACGTTGTAAAAACCAGCGAGTTATTGTAAAAAATGTTCCACTTGTTAATTGAGTTGTATAAAAAATATTGCGTTTTCAAGAATGGTTTAGTACTAATAGAATACAAAACAAATAAGAAGCCTCTAGTCGAGACTGCTCGACCTGGAGATACCCTGAACCCTCCATTCTACACTTTTTTATGCACTTTTCTTACATATACATATGCATCGATACTCACGCAAGCGCCCGCGCCGCTAACCGCGCTTGGGCTGTGCTGCAGTGTGGACAATATTATGAGAATTTATTTGTATAATAATTTCATTTGCAGAAATACATTATTAATGAAACTTTCAGAACGTAATCAAAATCTTCAAATGTATGTACACTGCAAAGAACAAGTTTCTAAAACTTGAAAGAAGTTTTTTACAAATTGAAGGCGAAGGGGGCGTGGTATAAAAAATCTGTAACTTACAAAATGTTTGTATTCATCATTTGTATATACACAGTAAATCTGAAGTCTCCA